AAAAAACAACTGTTATTGATGGTAAGAATATACCTCCTAAAAACATGACCTTATCGGTTGGTGATGAACATGTCCATGTCAGACCGAGCTTAACGGGTTGAACATGGTCATGTCGGTCGGTGCTAAACATAGCTATATCGGACTTGACAACGGCGTGCAGACAGTTAAATTCTACTATGCATAGTCGCTACTATGCATGACGACGGCGAGCAGGCAGCTAAATTCTGGTTGAGAGGTTGTGGTTGTTGCGGCGCCCTGAATGCAAGAGATGGCCGGAGGTTGTTGCGTGGCTGAACATGGAGATAACCGGACATGGATGCTCCGAGGTCATCGGACTCCAAGCCCTGATGCGGTCATAAAAATTCCGAGCTTCGAGCTCATGTCCGCCATTAATGGCGGACTTAATCTAAAAACAAAGATCTCGATTGGAAAAAAAAAAAATGATCTTGATTGGTGGTTTGACCCACTGTAAGAGGTCTCTCGTTGGATGCAGGGGAGATTGGAAGCTTCAACTGGCCGAAAGTTAGGTAATGGAGGCCGATGCATGATGATTGAGCTGTGAACCAGATATGGGAATTGAGGGTTCGATAATGAAATTGGACAAGTTCTAAGGACTTGTTCGTGATTTTAAATTTTTTATTTAATTGCAATTGAGTCCTAGACCAATTTGGCGAGGAAGGGATGACAATGATGTTTGTGTATAAATTGGCGGTGGAGGGGATGTTTTCGGAGAAGATGGCGGCTATGAGGAGGAGAGAGATATGGCCGATAATTTTCACTCGCCAAAGTGAATAAAAGTAAAAGTATATTACATGTAAACTTATAAAAATTTATCTAAATATTATATAAATACATTTTTCTTTTGTGGTGTTAAAACAATGTTATAAATGGTCAACTTACACAAACATAAACCATACAAAAAATACACAATTTATATAAGTTTAGTATAGGTTTATAAATTATTTTTTCTACTATACATTTATATCCAATATATTTTTAATTTATTATATGTTTATAAATCAATACAAAAATAAAAATTGTGATGTTATATACAGATTATTTTTAGTTTATTATAATTTTATAAACTAATACTTCTATATATTTGACAAGATATGAAATTTGATAGTATACTTGACAATACATGTATATATATATATATATATGAATTAACATTTACCAAAAATAGTAGCAAAAAAATAGGTCAATAATTTAATGCAGTCTATAAATAGTAAGTTTTATTATTTTTCATATTTTTTTCTTTAAAAATCATACAACATTAAATGCTACCTTAAATTGCGGGTTTTAGTTCATTTTATTTTTTAAAAAATCCGGCTAAGATTTATTAAGTGTGTATGTTTTTTGACATGCGTCATATTTACGTGCATTTTATAGTGATTTTCGTGTCCGTTTCGTCGTAATTTGATATATAAATAATTATTATATAATTAATTATTATTTAATTGATTATTTATTTAATTATTTATATACTGCGAGTGTTCACACTAGGGGCGGTATATGATGAAGTGTGTTATTTTGAGTTTTGACAGGAAACGAGGTCGAAATAATTCTTGGAGTCGAAAACGGCGTGAATTGGACACAAGTTTTGCTTTGGGCCTTTAAAAATCAGCATCAATAAGTCAAATAAACAGCCCAACATATGAAATACATATTAGGATTGGGCTGGCCCATAGGTCACTTAAATGAGGATAAAAAGGTCATTTCTTCATGAGATAAGTATGGTCTTCATCTTCTTCACGCACATGAAAGCCTGCATATTCGTCCGCCATGAAAAGAGCTCCGTCCACCCTGATTTCCGACCGCCGCACGTCGCATGAAGAGCATCGCTGACCGCCGCCGCCATTATTTCACTGAAAACCCGCTTGAACGTCAAATCCGCGACGGAGAAGCAGCTGGCCGCCGGAGCTGCCCGGAAGTGACGGGAATGGCCGGAATCCGCCATGCGGGACACCTGGGCGGCCACTGAACGTCGTCTGAACAGGTGGGATGCCGGAAAACTGACCAAGAGCATATATACGAGCTGAGAATGACGATCTGGTGCTGTTTTGAACTCCCAGGTACACACGGGTCGTGTGAGCCCGAGACACGGCTCGTGTCGCTTCGACGAGTCGTATATCGCACTCTCGATTTTTCCACACGACTCGTGTGGCTTATACACGAGTCGTGTGGCCCTGGACGCTTCAGAATCGGATTTTGCGTGTTTTCCTATTTTTTCGGCTTTTTCGACCTATTTCGACTAGGACTCGATCTCGACTATTTATACAACTCTTGGACACGTTTTTGATGGAGTCTGGAACATAATTTTTACATCTTTGGAAACTCTTGGAGGCTAGAAACACGAGCAAGACGAGGGAGAAGGCCGGGAAGGAAGGATCGACGGAGCCGAATAAGCTTTTTCTTTCTTTTTCTTTTCCTCTTTCGAACTCAATGTTTTATATTTATTTTTCCTATTTTGAAATCATGTTTCTAGGCTAGATTTATTTTAGATTCTAGGATTTCCGGACCTCCGGGAAAAGCATGAAAAAAACGTTTTCTGGAAGCTTCTTGTTCATATCTCTCATCAAAAGGCGCTATTCGATAATGTTAGTACTCGGATTGATTTATGATATAGTTTTTATTGCTTTCATTCCGGTTTATCTTTCGTTTATGAATTTCTTGTGCTTATTATTAGTGTGAGTAGATGGCCACTATGAATGCATATTTGTAATTGATTTGAGACCGAGAGAAGATAATTGATTGCTGGGAGATTTATAACGTAAGAGAATAAACAGACCGAGAGGTTGATAGGACCTTGCGGGAGAACGAAAATCCTAGGAACTTATGGGAGTTAGTTGTTCATCTTGAGACGGAGAGGAGATAGATAACAATTAATATCTACGATTTGACTTGTTCGAGAGAAAGGTTTGAAATCAATTTAGCGATTATCTCTACGGTTGGTAAAATTAAATAAGGTTTGTTTGAATATAAACGTTTCATTAATTAATTCCGAGGAACGCTTAGCCTAGAATCTATCTTTTGTATCTTATTTTATTTTTATTTTTTATAGATAAATTAGTTTTTTAGTTTAATTCTTAGTTTATAATCATCATTCAATTCACTAGTCTAGATAATATTTAATCGTTATTATTTTAGTACTTAATTAATTTAACTACAATCTCTGTGGAATACGACCTTGCTCGCCACTACCTATAGTTACTCCGTACACTTGCGGATAGCGAAAATAATTAGCGAACATATTTATTTTTATTTTTTTTCTTAGAAACAACAAACAATATTAAATCTCGGTCTCTATATTTATAAAATCTCAATTCAAAATATAACAAAAGTTTTTGAATCTCGGTCTTCATATTTGTGCCTTAGAAAAAATTGAACGCTAAAAATATTCTTTAAATTGCATAATCAATCAATTAATCTTAATTTTTTAAAAATTACTATGTTTAATTAATTCATCTTTAGATATATAATTTATAATCTTAATATACTATCATTTGGTGTAGACATATACTATATGAATCATAAAATATTTTTATTTCATAAAATTAAATATAGTTAAAGAAAAAAAGAAAATTTCTTCGGATCAATTGGGTGATTGAATTAGGGTACTGCCCAGGTTGATTGAATTATTTTTAGGTGATATTTAAAATAGTCAAAAAACTTGACACAACTTAGTTGGTCCCAGATGACTAAGTTATGTATCAGTTCGATCACACCAAATCGATTATTGAACCTAAATATAAATTTTATATTGAAAATCTTTTATTACGTGAATGTGATGTAGTCCAAACTTCAAATAATCGTATCAACAATACTTTTATGACAACATGTTTAATGATTTATGAATATTTATATATCATTTTATTAATATTTATGTGAATTAAATAATATTTTATTATAATATTTATTAATGTACATTAAATATAAAGTTTTCTGAACTGGACCATCATCGAAACGATCAAGTTATTATATCAAATCATTTGTGGTTTGTTCAAATTTTAATTTATAAACATTTTAATGTATATATATATATATAGTACTTTTTGTAATAAATTTAAATAAAATGTGTTACTTAGATATCTAAACAATTTATAAATTCAAATGTTTAAACTTATTGATAAATAATTTATAAATCTCTATTTTATTTAAATATGTAATTTTATTTAAAATATTTTTAAATATAATAAAAGTTATTTAGAAAATCGTATCGATCTTATCAGTCCAACCGACTGGTGTTGACGAATTCGAGAGCAAATATTTTATTCAAGCGAACTAGACTGGTTATAAACCGGTTCTCTGTCCATCCGGTCGGACTGTGTCCAACCCGATTTAATTTAAAAATAATGAAGAAATCTTGATTAATGTTATTTATATATTTAATTTATAATACAATCGTAATATTTTTTTTCCCGTGTATCGCACGGGCCACGCACTAGTTAGATATAACACTTGATAATATATTTTTGACAAGCCTAATCATTGGGTAGGCAGTAATTATACTCGTAAACCGAATTTGTACAACTAATGAAATATGTTTAGTTCACACTCCAAATTATCAATTTTCTTGATGTTTCCCCACCTATTAAACTGGAGATAAAGCATGAAAAGACAATTCATACAAGACTACGAAAGTGGTCCTCGTTT